AGGCAGAAAACGCTGGCATCTGTCTGCTGCTCCCCTCCCGGTGCTGCAGCGAGTCCCCTGCGGACTGTTCACTCACTCGCTGACTGCGGAGGGAGGCCAGCGCAGGTGTCTCGCCATGTGCTCAGGGCGAGTCTCCGGTTTTCCTGCAATGTGTTCACTTTAGCTAAAATCCTTTAATGGGACCGTGTGGAATGCTGCTGAATACACTCAAGATCACCATAACTGGCAGCAAAGCTTCACCAGGCCCCTGGCGGGCGCTGGGTGCTGTGAGAAGTGTGGCCAGCGGCCCCTGCACCTGTTACTGCAGGCTGTCCCGTGAGCGGCTGCCACCTTCACTCTCCAGAGAGAAAACGAGGCTCAGGGAGGGCAGGCACTTTTGTCAGGCCACGCAGCTCACATGTAACAGACCGGGCTCAAGGACGAGAAGGGCATTGCAAGGTCACTCTGCATCCCAGTGTCATACACGACAGGGGCACACAAAAGATGTGGCCACCAGGACAGAAACTACCCAGGTCTGGCCCCTCTGCAGTGGGTCCTGGCCACACCTCTTTGTGACTGAATGGATGAGCTGCTTGTGCCTCTGAATTACACCTGCACCCAAGCCCTCCCCCTGCGGCAGCACCATCCTCTTAGGGTTGCAAGTGGTTCACGTCTACACACCATGATATATACACTGGGTCCATGTATAGATCACACAGAACCCCGCAGGCACCTTCCACCCACCTGGTTAATTCACAGCCTTCTCTGCTCTGTGGAAAAACCATCCGGGAAGCCTGCTGGGAGCCTACTGGGGTAGCTCCCACCTCCTATCATAATATCTTAGAAGGTGGTGATGATACCATTGCGATTAGCTAGTTCTTAATAACAGGAAATGAGCAAAGGGAAGGCCAGACATTATGGGCATAGCATTTGGGCAGCTTCACTAGGAACCACCAGCCTATTCCCTGAGAAACACTGGGGGAAGGGTTCCCACAAAGTGGAGATAGACACATGCCAGTAAAGTTGGGGTGACATAGGGAAGATACTTGCCGGTCAGTCAAACCTGGAGACACAGATGGTTGGCCAGAATGGGCGTGGCCACTGCAAGCCTGTGAAAACTGAGGCATATATAATCTCCTAAGCAAAGACATTCTCTCTCTCTTGTTGCTCCCTGCTCTTGCTTCCTCTTGGCTCGTGGGGCTCTCTTGGTCTTACTTCCTTGCATTCGCCTGTGTTTCCTCCACGACCATGTGGCTCTGTGGACCCCACATGCAATGGACTGCTGGACTCCAGCAGGGAAACACAAATTAAGCTCGCCTGAGGCTGGGTTGGATTGTGCAGACATGGAACAGAAGCTCCGGACGTGGGCTCTGATTTTAGTCCTGGTGAAGGTGAAATGGGGCGTCTTCCTTTCTGGGCCTGAGGGATGAAACTCTGGAAACCCAGGAGTGTAATTCCACAGAAAATAAAGCTTTCTACCCTATCTCATCTTTCTGTGCAAATCTCACAAAATACTTTTTCTCCTGACATCACAAGAAAAACACCCCCCCAAGCAACCGGGGGAGATGAGGTCCTCTCCCCTCCATTAACATTGACAGTGCTGTTCCTGAGCTTTGTGGCTAATTGATTCCTGCAGCAGCTTTGCTCTCAGCTTCCGAAGCTCGTAGCCAGGCCACCACCTCAGTGCAGGTCACCCACAGGGGCGGGGGTGAGCCAGGCTGGGTGCTGCCTCTTCCCAACAAATGGAGAAGCCGACAAGGCTGTATAAAGAGAGAGGTCCTGCCTGAGGGGGAGAGGGGACTGGAGACAACAAAGGACTCACCCAAAGTTCTCCTCTGCCGTGGAGCTGGCAAGCTGGCCCCTCAGAGGCGACAAGCTCTGGGGTAACTTCCTAGGAAGCAGGTCTTGTGGGGAAGCCGGGCTGCAGATGCCGTGAGCATTCATCATCCAACAAAACCAGACAAGGACAGACACCCTCCTCTGACACAGGGAGGGCAAGGCCACCTTTTTAGGGTGGAATTCAGAGAAAAACTTGAGAGAGAATAGAGGGTGGGAGAATGTCTATGAATGATGATTTTAATTAGGTCATCAAGACCCATGTTTGAACTATTAAACCTGACAATGAAAATTCTCGATTCTGTTGAAATTTTTTCAGGTAGAAATCACAGTACATTTAGCCTCAGTGTCTGTCACTGAGCTCTCTGCTTGAGGGAACCCTCCTGTCTGTGACAGATTTTCCCTGCGGTGCCCGAGGACACCCTTTCTTAAGACACATGCACCTTTGTCACCGGGCCCAGGTGGTTTCTCCGCAGATGCACAGAGGCAGGAAGAGGGATACAGCGATGAGTTGGGGGTGTCCCAGCCCTAGGCTCTGGGTCAGTCCTGTAAACTGACTTAGAAGGTCACTTATATGGGAACCTATAAAACGAAATAAATGAACAAGCAGAACAGAAATAGACTCTCAAATTCAGAGAACATTTTGATGGTTGCCAGATGGGAGGGGGTTGGAGGGATGGGTGGAAAAGGTGAAGGGATGGAGAAGTGCAAATTGGCAGTTACAGAACAGTCAAGGGATGTGAAGCACAGCACAGGGAATATAGTAATATTCTAATAACTATGTGTGGTGTCAGATGGGTACTAGATTTATTGAGGTGACTGCTTTGTAAGTTATATAAATGTCTAATCACAGGGTTTTACACTTGAAACTAATATAAGACTCTATGTCAACTGTAATTGAAAAAAAAAAATTTAAAAAAAGAAGGTCCCTGTGTCACGAGGGCTGGCCCGGCCTCGGTGTTGATGCAGGGCTCAGGACACGGGTCAGGCCGATGCTCTGGGAAGAGGTTGGCCACGGAAGGAACTCAGCAGCAACCAGAGGGCAGTGCTCAGTCTCAGGGAACAGGTCACACAACTTGGGGCCAGTGGCCAAAGTTAGCACCATAAGATCACAGGGGTCTGGGAATACCTAACCTGTGAAAGTGAGCTGGCAGGAGGTGCCTGCCCACCAGCCACAAGGTGTCTCTGGGTGTCAGCACACTGAGATCTGCCTTCTCCAGGCCTCAGTTGCTTAATCTTTCAAATGGAAACAAGAATCCCCCTTCCACCTGCTTCATGGAGCTTTGTAATGATCACCGGGACAAGGGCGCAGAGGTGCTGCCTCAAAGGTCAAGGCACCCCTGAAAGAGAAGCAGAGTCGAAGCCGACTTCACACGGGGTGGGAAGGGTCTGCACAGCTGGCATGCTGTCTCCCTGCTCCCCTCGCTTGGGCATCTTCAAACCCCCGCAGCCTTCTCCCCCGCAGCCTCTGTGCCGCTGGTCCGGACGAGCCATGGGCCTGCCGTTACTGCATTTTCCCTGTGTCATCAGCCACTGTCTCCACCGACTCCACCACTCGGAGCTGCCGTGGGCCAAGGGGAGGGCTGACCTTTGTTTATTTGTTAGGATTATCAGGAGCAAGCTCTGCTTTGAAGATCAAGCTGATTTTAAACCTTATATTTTGTTGACTCGTGAGCTGAGGCCCAGAGAGGTGCGGGATGTGCACCCTGACTCCTGTCCCGCGCTCCTCGGTCCTGCTCCGCATCATGGGGCTCAGTCCTGAGGACCCAGGGGGCACTGAAGGACAAGGGCACAGGGCAGGGGCGGGGGGCAGGCAGCCGCAGGGCGGCCGTGTCCTCTCAGGTGGTGAGTCTGTGCCATGCAGGGTCCGCCACACCTGGACGATGAAACTGGCGAGCTGCCCGCAGCCCGGCCTGCCCGCTCACTGGCTCTCTCCCGCGGCCAGGGCCCACGCTCAGTCTGAGGTGGTCATTGCCTGGAAATTGTGCTTATTCTTGGAGTGCTCAAGAACACAGAAAACTTAATTGCCAGAATTAAGAATTTAACTCCCCTTGCTTTTCAGCAATTAAAAACACATTAGCTGCCTATGTTCCCTTTATAACATCCCTTTTGTGAGAAGATAACTTCTGAGCAACGTCCTTCCTTAATGACGGTGGGAGCGGCTGTCTGGGGAACGCAGGCCCGGCGGCCCCCAGGCGTCTCCCTAGCTGCTGCTTCCCTCTTTGCCCGACCGGCCCGCTTGTCTGCCGCGGCGTGAGCGAGATCTCCAGCACTGTTCTCCGAGACCCAGTAGCTGTCTGCTCATTCCCACTAACCCGGCAACCCAGAGGGAGCACAGTGACCGGGGTGGGGCAGTGCTGGGGACAGACGGTCCGAGGAAGAACAGTGTTGTCCCTCCTCTGCCTTGTTAATTCACCCACAGTTACATTACTGAGTAGGACATGCCCACAGTCCTGGCTGTCACTGGGACTTCTCAAGAAAAGGACACTGTATTTGGAGCATAAACAGAGGCCAGTGCTGTTGGCCCTCAAAGGTACACGTCTCCTGCGATGACACTCTCTCTCACTCACCCCCTTCCCAGGGCCACAGGCTTGGGGGTGCGCACCCTGAGTGCCCTCCTCTCCAGGCCCCCTCGCCCGCTCTAGCCCACTATTCTCCTGAGTGCAGCTTCCCAAGAAGCCCACCTCTTGCCAGTGCAGTCTGTGCCTGCAGGCGGTGACAGGAGCTCACACCCAGTCAGATGCACACAGGTGGAGACTACCAGGCCCCTGGACTGAGGAGGTGACACAGAGCAAGACAGACGCTTTGGGGACAAGGAGATGTTGGACAACCCTGGACCGATGTGCAGAGGTGCTGCCCCGAGGACTGAGTGGTAGGTGAGGGGCATCTCAGGGAGGTACCATCTGAGCTGGGCTTTAAAGCATGACTAGAAGTTCATCAACCTTTGCCATCTTCAAGAGGGGGTTGAAACAAAAAATTAAAATTAAAAAATTAATATTTACAACTTACAAAACTAAATAAGCTTAAGAGAACTTNATTTACAACTTACAAAACTAAATAAGCTGAAGAGAACTTTAAACTTCGATATGATATTTTGTAGGTCTGAGGCATTTATACCCAAGCCGGCAATATCAAAGCTAAAAAACTGCGCCAAGCCTTGCAGGACACCTTTGTTTTATTACCTCCTGTTATCACTGCTGTCGAGCAGGAGAGGTGATATTTCTCCAGTTATTGTGAATGAAGAGCTCATGATGTTACAACCCCTCATTCCTCCCTAAGGGAGGAAGTACTAGCTGCTGGGTTTTGAGCAGGAGAGGTGATATTTCTCCAGTTCCTGTGGATGAGGAGGGCTCACGATGTTATGGCCTCCCATTTCTCTTTTAAGAAAGGATGGTTTTAGAGCCTCGAATGCCAATGAAGTTGTCTTCACTGAGAGATCTTTTTATAGTAGCTCTGCATAGGTCTTTGTCTTCACAAAATCTGGAAATGGCCTGGCAAAGGCAATCAAATAGAATACAGGTACTATTAAAAATGGATTCTTTTAGGAAAAAGCATAGTAACAAGGCAAACATTCACACTCTTTATACAGTGTATAGTCCTGGCCTCTTTGGGTAGATGAGGTCCCCACTGCCAGGTTCTGGCGTGCTACTTCCCGCTAATTCACTAAGGTAAGTCCCTTCGGGGCTATGGTTAGATTTCCAGACCAAAAAGGAACTTAGAATTACTGAAAAAAACCATCATCTGTTGCCTGTATGTAAAGAGCATATATTTGGGCAAAACCAGTGATGACTCAGCTATTCAAATTCTACACAGCCTTCATCAGTTATCAAACACTCTAAGCAAGTGGTAATGAGGCAGGTGTGTGCTGTAGCCTACTGGAAGGTAGGAAAGGCCTGAGGACTGAAGGACCACAACTATTTCATCTGCACATTAATCACGTAGAAAACGTCTTATTGTAAGGTACAACCAAGATTCCACAGAAATGTCCATTAAAAAGTGTCTATTTCAGTTGTGAATTATTCTGTTTATACTCACCCAAAATCATAAACTATTAATATTACTTTGTCCAATGTGCTTTATCCATTTTCATTACAAATAGATGTACTTCTACATCCAGTATTTGAAACACACCTTATACATTCTAAGTAGAGGTCTCTCTGGTTGGCCACTAATGCTTTGTCTAATAAACTGATGGGACTGCACTGTGATATATATAGAAATGACAGGAATTCACAAACTGATTAAACATGGTGAGTAGATTATGTATGTAGACATGATAAGTGATACAACTGTAAGAAATAATTCATGTATGATTATGAGAAAGGATAGTGTGTCAAGTGGAAAACCATTACCAGATTAAATTTGACTTAAAGTATTTTGAATTATGGTCACCAGAGAGATCTGTAATTTTTTATAATCTGAGATCCCTGTATAAATCATAAAAGACGCTGGAAATATGATGCAAAAGGATAAAAAAGCTCTTCTTCAATATGTTAATTTTAAAAAGCTTTCCATTTTCCTAATCACTGCTGAATATGATGTGTCAGCAGATGCTGGCATTAGTAACTGACCGAGAGTCCGCTTCGAGACTCCGCAGCCTTACCTTGAGGTTCTGTGCTCTTTCTCTGTGAAGAGGGGTGGATACAAGAGGCAGGTGGTTGTCAGAGGCCACGCAGCGCAGTTTAAAATAGCATTTGGCAAACACACCCGCAGAAACACTAATATGATGCTGAATTAGACGAAAAAACTCTCTTTCCATCTCATTCCTGGGTGGGAAGACAAAACCAACCCCGGGCAATTTTACTGAATGCTGCTGTTTTCATAAATGTCATTCTGAGCTTCTAGGATGGCTCTAATTTTTCTTTTGAAGCAAATACAGGCCGCCCAGCTGTATTTGTTTTAAAATCCTCACCTGAGGATATTTTTTCATTGATTTTAGATGGAGAGAAAGGGAGAGGGAGAGGGAGAGAGAAACATGGATGTGAGAAATGTTCATCGGTTGTCCCCTGACCCAGGATCTAACCCACAGCCTGGGTATGTGCTCTGGCCAGAATTGAACCTGTGACCTTTCGGTGTGTGGGGTGATGCTCCAACCAACTGAGCCACACCGGCCAGGGCTTCCGGCTGTATTAACACACTACTGCTCAAACAGGGCGCAGCTCCGTGGTGCCTCCTGCATCCCGGCACTTCGAGTTTGGGAGGTCACGGCCCTCCCTCCGTGCACCCCCACTGCGGACGCGGCCCCTCCTGCAGGCCCTCAGGGCAGCTGTGGGACGTACGCTCCACGCTCCCTCGCAAGGCCCACTGCAGTGGTCAGGTGAAAGGAGTGCTGCTGCTGCTATTAGTTCTGAACAACTTGCAGACTTTTTCACCAGGCCCCTAACAAAAAGGGGCTTATTGAAGAGGAGTGGGCACATCACCATGACAACAGATCCATCTAGAGCCATCACTATTGTGCTATTGACTGTGAGGAGGAAACACTCTCTAGGCAACAAGGAGTCGTCTCAAATAAAATAAATAACCCACATTCGATGGGAAAGGGAACACTTCCTCCTACCCCAGCGCCTGGGGTGATTGTCAAAAGATATAATAATGCAAGTTTCTGTTTACCTTAGTCTTACTGGAGTGAGAACTGTCACTCTGACAGGGCAGGATGCACTTTGTAAACCCTGGAAGGCATGAAGATTAAAGAGAAATGCCTTGCCTGGACTAAACCCACTCTACGATATGACCTCTGCTAGAGAGCACTGGACTCCACTCCAACAGTGTTTCTCCCACGTTGGGAGTGCCGTCCTGGGGTGCTCACATCCACCCCCTTGCCAGATGGAAGGGGGCACAGCCTCAGGGGTGAGCTCAGTACAGTGGGAAGTGAAAGGTGGCAGCAGTCCTGCGCTACAGACCTTACCGCCGTCACCTGCCAAGTGTTTACATAAATATAAAATCAGAGTAAACTTTACTACTTTCAAAGTAATCTCCTGACAGAGTTAATTATACAAAATTGATGAAACCATGAATGAACCCGAGAGGCTGACTTTCTAACATCCTTGGTTTCCTAGTTTAAACCTTTAATGTTTTATCCTTTAGGCCGTCAACCAAGCCTCCATGTTCTCATGTATGGAGGGGGCTGAACATGAGCAGGGATGAGCTTTTCTTATCTGCTGAACTTTAAACCCAACTGAACCTACTTCCACAATTATTTTCCGGTTCCTATGGCCATTAGTCTATAGAAATGTGAATCATATAATGTTTTATGGTTTTACATATATGTATATATATATATATTTAAATTAAATTTATTAGGATGACAACAAACTGATTACACTCGCATGCTGGACGTTTTGATAATCAGCTAATCACGACTTAATTTACTACAGAAATAAATCTCCATTATCAATTTTATATTTTCTTCACTAATACACTTTAATTGTGTAGAAATACAGTAAGTTCATAGAATTAACCTATTAATAGAGGTTTAATCGTGGACTGAAAGCATTATGCCCACAGAATGAGCGTCTTCTGGGTTTTGCCTCGTTTCTCAATGGCTAGACGGATGAACGGCATCCTGTTTACAGGCACAGCGAATTTTCTGAATAGCAGCTGCTCAGCTTAACTTATTTTGAAGGGAAATAATATTTTTAAAAGACACACAGATGTTGGAAAGTTTTAGGATAAAGTTGATAGACACCAATTTTTAATTTAGACTCAAAATGTGACCACTACCAATAGCAGGGGGACGAAACCTCTGCATACTAAACACTCTGGCACTGCCTTCCAGTTTCCAAAGGTCACAAACAAAAGCAGCTGATTATACACGTAGCTCCTGTCTGTGTTTTTTCCTCTTTATACACAAAAGGCATTGTTTACAACCTGTCTTTCTATAGCTAGACAGACACTGCCCACATTGCCCCTGGAGCTCTCATCTGAGAGCCCACACATTTTCCTGCCCGTTCTCTGCTGTTATAACTAGAACCAGAGCCCCACCAGCTGAGTTGCAGGTCTTGAGTTCAGCAGCCATCATGGCAGGGCTAGTGTTCACAAGGACAAATTTCCCGTCCTTCAAGGGGCCAGTTTGAAGACTGATGACAGTGGTGATTAAAGTCACTTCAGTTTCTGCCACTTCCCAAAGTACTTCCATTTGCTTCAGTCATTATTTGCTGTCACACACTCTGCTAAGGTGTCTACCAACAAGATCACCATGACTACCTGCTTTACACTATTATCAAAGTGGGCTTTCTCCCCGAAAGCCACCTAGACAGCTACTGGCAATCTCTGGCTCCTTAGTCACAAGCACCATCACTTGGTGCAAATGTGCCCTTTGGTAATTCTGAATGAGCCTTAGGTAGAGAAATGAGTAAAGACAGCAAACCCTTGTCACGGCCCACCGCGGCCTTGATCTTTGTATGCTGCTTCATATAATCAAGAGGTGTTCTTTTACATTTTCCATGTGACACCCACAAAGGCGTTTTCACAGTCAGGGCACTCAGAGTCTGCTGGAAATACCTCTGGCTCATCCTGCCTGCCACCCTCAGAGCCCTTCACAGCAGTCAGTGTGGCCACATGGAAAGCCCTCATATGTGTGGTTTCACTCCCACGTTAGTGAGCCACCTGTTAGGATCCCTCTCCTTGTTGACCTGCGGTTCCCCACGAGGCACTGCTGTGGCTGCTGAGTGCCCAGGAAACCCTGGAAAGGCAGGGGCACTGGGTGGTGCCCAGTGGTGTTTCCACTGCATGAGAGGTAGGAGCTTCCTAATTCTCAGATTTATTTTTAAATATGTGCAATTTTCTTAAAAGGGCAGGAGGGAGCACAGGGATCTGAAACCTTTATATGTGGTTATTTTTCTATCATGGTTGCTTTAACAAAAGAACTTTAGATACAATAAAGGAAAGGACCAGTAACAGCAAATATACAATGTGTGACTCAGGTTTAAACTATGATCCCTCAATAGTTTAGAGGCCCTAAGACCCTAACAGTGGCCACACATTTATTTAAACTGCCAGATGTGTGCCCCTTAAAAATGAACTGGAACTGGTGGGTGGTTTTCAGAAAGCCACGGAAATAGCTACTGCACTGTGGTTATGGTAGCGAGCTCATAAAATGTTTGCCAAAAACCACCAGAGAAATACAAGTTATCAAGCAGATTATAAAGCAATGACACATTAAGACCTAATAATTAACGATGAGAAATAGGAACTGTTATACCAAAGGTGGATTTAAAGAAGCATGTAGTTTTACGCCTATATCAGTTCTCGGCACAATGTTAACCTTTAAAAATATTCATTAACATGTAAACTTCATGGAGGCAAATGAGCTATTGGAAAAGTTCACCAAAACCTTACAGACTCACATGTCCTCAACTGTAATGATGTCCTTGATGGGCTGGCAGTAGTTCACAATCCACACATCCCTATCTTCCCAAAACTCCGAGGCAAGAAGAACAGCTCCCAGAACAATTTTTTTCCAATTAGTGGGGCAGATGTCGATCTCGGCATACATCAAAAGCCTTTCTATGTAAATCTGTGAAAGTAGAACACTGGTCTTTGACTTCAGCTCAGTTTAAGTGCTGTGATAAGAACTGTTAGGAACGACAGATATCATGTTTTCAACATGCCTTTCATTCTTAGGTTCTACAGAGACTGCTTGGCCAGCCAAAGCCCGAGGTCAAGTCACAGCTGCAAATCAGATACTCTGTGACCATGCAAATTTCCAGCCCAATTTTTGGTCATAGGAATGAATGGACATCTTAGCAAAGGACTTCCTGAAGAAACGTCATTTCCTTTCTGCTTATAAAGGGCCCCATATACAGGCCCAGCATAGATCCAAGTTGTTCAATGAATTCTTGAGTGTTTGCCACATGCAATGTCTCATACCTGCCTGGTTATTATATGGTGATTTTACAAAATACTTGAATATGTAAATCCCTGGTAATACTGAACACGTTTATATCTTCTTTTGTGGCACAAGCTAAAGACAAAAACTGGTGGTCACAGAGCCCTCAGGCTGCTGTGCAGCAGGACAGGCAGTGCAAACAGGCGTTTTCAGGCTGCTCTGCACAATTGTCAAGGAATCCTGCCCTTAGTGCCTCCCTAAGGAGCACACATGCACACAGAGGACAGTCCTTTCACATCCCCTAATGTTCACATCTCCACCATCGCTTTATGAGATGCCTCTGTCTTACATAGTCTGAAACAGAGTCACTTCTGTTGGTTTGAGGTGGTAACCGAGCTGTCAGTTTCTGTATCCCTGGTGCTCCTCTAACCTGCCAGGCAGCTTGGGCGGTTTCACAATTTCTTTTACCTATATTAAACGCTCTGTCTACAAAGAATCGGGTGACGTTAACAGCTGAGTAAGGGCTATAGAGGTAAGCTTTGATTTGGTGTTACCTCAAAGGGTGCTTTCCGTAAGAGTATATATGCCATTTGTCAAAAGAAAAAAGTCCAGTTTTAAAGAGCATGTTTACTTTCTGAAGGTTATCAGATTGACAGCGAGAATTTTCCAGTGTTCTCCAAACTCAACTGTGTTTTCAGAAACAAATGGTTATTGAACATTATATGATCTTAGTAAAATTTTGCAACCTATTCCCCAAAGCTTAGCCCTCTCAGGTATCCTAAGAATGAACATCCTTACAAGGTTCAACTCTATAATTAGAGACCCTTAAACAACACTGGCAGTCTCTCACCTTCCTGGCGAACCTGATCTGGGCCAGAGCCATTCATTTAGACCACCTGCCCTCCAGGGTCAGTGGAATTGAACTTTCTCTTCTCACTGAAGCTGACTCTTCTGTCGGTGAAGTCAACACCATCCCACTTCTGCAGAACACTGTTCCCACAGTTACCTCTTTTTGAAGAATTCCTCCCTGTCTGCCAGAGATTTTCCCCAGTGTGAATGTGCTTACATGTCTCCCACCCCATGTCCCGCGACCCCGAGAAGGCTGCCTCTCCTTCCGCTCACAGTAGGTGCCCTGATGATGTGTCCCATCTCCCACTCTGTCCGTAAGCCGCTGCAGTCTGCCTCCTGCCACCACCACTCTGCGGAGTCTACTACTGCTAAGGTCCTTGGTGCCTTGACATAAATGCCAGGGCTCTTCATCCCAACTCCCCACTTCCCAAGTCTTCCCTAATGGCACAGCGGTCACTGCCGTTTGCCTCGTGGCTTGAGCCGAGTCTGTACGAGCAAGCCTGCTCCGGTCTTTCAGCAACTCTCAGTATCTCTGCCTGTCGCCGCAACCTGACTGCTTCCTGTTCTGCTGGTAACTTCTCACTTGGATTACTATTACTGCCTTCTGACTTCTCCGCCTCCATGGGGACTTCCAGCTACAGTGCAGTCTCCCCAAAGCAGCCAGAACAGCTCTGTAACTGAGAGCACTTCATTCCCTTGCTCAATATCTTGCAAAGGTTTTCCACTGAACAAATAAAAATTTAACTCTTTCCACGGCCTGCAAGCTACAAGGCCCTGTAAGATAGGACAGCGCCCTCCTATGGCCTCACGTCCTACATTCTTTCCCTCATTCCACACTCTGCCCACATTGGCCACACCTCACTGTCCCTCGAGCACACACAACCTGTTCCTGCCTCAGAATCTAGCTCTTGTTCCCTCTGCCTCATCTCCCCCGCTCAGTCAGGTCACGGCTCAAATGTCACCTCTTTAAAGAGGCTATTCTAGATCAGTCTATGTAAAATAGTAAGCCCCTCTAATAACTTTATCACGTGGCCTGCTTTACCTCCTTGGTGTGTGCTACCCCCTAATTCATTGACCTTTTTAAAAACACTGGTGAAAAAAGTACTTAGGTCTTCCTCACTAGAATAGAAGCTACATAAAGGCGAGCCCTTTATTCAGCCGGCTCTCCTGGCCCTCAGCGCTCAGATCTGCAGGGACTATCGGCACTGAAGGGACGGGTCCCCAGAGTGGCTACAGTGGTGGGAAACCCAGTTGAAAATAATGAAAGAGAAGCCCAGGTAACGGAGGTTCAAGACAGTGAAGTCAAAACGCCAAATCCATCAAGAGTTGCTCGTTCCATAAATATACACTGAGTACCTACCCTTGGGCACTATTCGGTATTCCATCCACTTCATACTCACATGCTTTCTCTGCATTTGAACTGCTGCTCTTAATTACCTACCTCCAGCTCAGATTCATGCTCCAGTTCCATATGTTCAAATGACCTGAAGGCTGCCGCACTGCCGCTTTGCTGTCTCGGGGGCACATCAAGCTTAACTTGTCTACAAAGAACTCCCCCTCTCCCGCCCCAGGTGCTCTCTCCTGTGTCACCTGGCTCTCCACGTGGGGGCACCACCCTGCCCTTCTCCAGCGTGTGCTGAGCACCCCAAATGGCTGGGAGCTCCACGGAAAGGCCCGTGTCTGATTCAGTGCCCACTGGGGCGGGGGCGGGAGGGGAGTTCTCTTCAGAAGCCCAGCTGCCTCTCTCAAATTTTAACTGGCTACTAAGGCGGGAGGCACTGACCTCAGTACTCTTTCCCTCCAGTCCGTGCAGGAGGAGTGATGCAATCCCAACCACTTCTCACCACAGTAGAACTTATTATTTAAAACGGTAGAATCTTCCCATGGGAATTCTGTATGGATGGCACAAAGGCCCTCACACAGCTGCAGCTTAGCAGGCAACTTGCAAACCTTCTATGTACTTCTGGCACTACGATCCTGGGCGACTTCACAGGCGGCCCGAGTGGACAGCGGGGATAAATGAACACCCATCACCCAGGGAACAGAATTTAGGGAGACAGTTTCCAATCAGGGCATGAGAACTGCCTGGGGGATACAGCTGGGGGCTCAGCTTCGACCTACCTGAATCAGTCACTGCCTGGGGGCCAGATGGCTTTGTTACTGCTCCCATCCTACCCCGTGGGCACACCTTGCATGTGTGCATGTGTGTGCACTGCATGTGCATATGTCTCCTGAGGTGAGCAGGGAGGAACCAAAAATCTCTCGCTGCCTCTGATAGCGATTGTTTGTGATGAGAAAAGCAATAGCATTTTAAATCATAATGATTATGTAGTTCGAACGTGTGAGAGGTTTCTCTGAAAGATCTGATGATCATTTCAGGAACCTACTTTTATTTGAAAAACAGGACATAGCCTATGAACAACACAGAAAAGATGCTTTCTGGAAAGAGAACCGTCTTACCAACGTCACTATTGCAGAGTTGGCTGTCATCTGCATGGCCCTGAAAAGAGGGCGGGCAAACCTATAGACACACGTGGGTTCAGGGTCTTGCTCAAAATATTCCTCTGGAGCCATTTCTCGCTGAAAAGAAAGAAGTGCAATGTAAGTATCCATTGAAGAAAAATGCTTAAGTACTCTCACAGTAGCTGTCTTATACTTGTGCCCACGTGCCCCTAAAATAGTTCTGATTGGGTGACATGTCTTTTAGTATTTTAAATACAGACCGTAGGATCTTAAAGAGCAATGCTGATTCCATACTCACCACCAGTCATTAAAAAAAAAAATACAGGCACAACCTCAGGAAACTTAAACATGATCCTTTCCACCTTCCCCTTACAGAGGTTTATCTAAATGTAAACTACTTTCAGGTTCAAAATGCTTGTTGATAACCATGTCAGACATCTCTGCAGTCGACTCTGAAAAGACACTTTCCATTTCCTGTAACCACAAGATCTAATCTGTGCCGCGCTACACACAGTCAGCAGCCACATATCACTACAGAGCATCTGAAGAGGTGAATTAATAATTTTTGTCATTTTAATTGATTTAAAATTTAATTAGGTGCTTAATTTTCTTCATAAAAATCTTAACAATATCTGTTAGGTTTATTTACAAATATTTATATTGTTTGATGCTACTAAAAAGTTATCTTTGAAAAAATAATTTTTTGTTTTTGGAGTATGTTTACTCTCCTTAGCTCTCTAATTATAAAGATGCAACTCAGTTCTCACTGACGTATCCCTTAGGCAACACTCCTTTGAAATAGTTAGATACCAAATTGGGTAGGAAAGAAGACTTAAAGGAAGATAATTTTAACTTCAAGCTGGAGGGAATAATTTTCTTCTAGTAATTAATCCAAAGAAAATCAGCATAAAATAAACCCAACTGAATTTGAGAAAAATACCGCCTCAATAAAACTGACACTTACTATGAGTGAGTGTGATCTCTCATCAAAAACATCCAAGGACCTATTTCCAGCTCTAAAAAATAAGAATGTGCATTTAGAAAACTAATTCAGGAATTGTTAATACCTTAGTAAGACAGCTGCTGGGAGTAGAGAGAGGTTTGGAGGGAGAGGCTTAACCCTCCCAGAAAGCAGATTTTCAAACACTTCTCTTGGATTTTTAAGAGGGTTTTCTGACCTCCTTTTACTCAGCAGATCAAATTCTGTGAGATCGTTTCTACAGTGACCAGCCAGAGTTGCCTTTATAAGCCCTGACCTCCCTAACAGGCAATGCTGGTAAACCAAATGTATTTCTATTTTTCTAACTTCACATTGAAATACACAAGAACATTATATAAAGCAAGCATGCTGGGCAATAATGTCTGTAGAATTTTTAAAAATATGTCATTATTGATTTCAGAGAGAGGAAGGGAGAGGGAGAGAGAAATAGAAACATCAGTAATGAGAGAAAGTCATTAATCGGCTGCCACCTGCATGCTCTCTGCTGGGGTCGAACCCACAACCCGGGCATGTGCCCTGACTGGGAATTGAACTGGCCACCTCCCCGATCACAGGTTGATGCTTAACTGCTGAGCCACGCCGGCCAGGCTGTCTTTAGAATTTTAACTCATATGCATATGAGATTCATGTTTTTCTCTGTTTTTTCCTTTTATTAGTTTGCTACATTATATTCTCATTTTATATTTCTCTTCTTGTTTACTTTAAATAGTTTTAGTTAAAAACTTGTCTTTTTATTTTAAAAGTGATTGGTCTTTTGAGTTGAAGGTTCACCACACTAATACATGCTGCTCCTTCACACAGTGGTTCTCCCAGCGTGTCTGCAGCCCTCTGGGGCTCTTCTAGACCCTTTTCAGGAGGCCCATGGGATCAAAACTGTTTCTATAGGAACATTCAGGCACCGCCTGGTTTTACACTGACATTTGCAATGATTGTTTAAAGGAAAAGTAAGAAACTTTTAACAGAACATGAATCAAGGCAGTGGTACCGAACTGTACCTCCTCACTGCCACTTGCAGGGAAAAAAAATTGCTTTACTTAAGAACATCCTGATAAAGGAGTAAAAAGTAATGGTGTTATTCATCTTTGAAGCTTTTTCACATTCTGAGTGGAAAGTATGCATTAAGCACTTCTGCACCTGAAATACAGATGTGCCAACAAAAACACTTGTGACTTAGTTGTGAGCTGAGCAAGCCCCTTTTCACAGAATAACATCCTTCTTTGATAGTACAACTGGCATTCTCTCAAAAGTGAAATTTGAGCTTGTCCTTTTAAGGAAAATAACTTGTATATTTGTCGCCAATGACACAATTCAATCCATTAAGCTAAAAATCAGGATTTGGGAAAACGTGTACCTTCTCTTGTGAGCCGGACAACTTTTCAATACTTAAGAACTTTTCTGGTAAGATCGGTGGTAATAACTCACAAAAGTGCATTTTGACACAGTATAAAGAAATGTGAACCAATATTTTCCAAATGATCAATGCACAATATTATTATAAAGTCATGTACAAGTAAAAGACTCTTTCAGCTTTCAAGACAGATCAGTTAGTATTAATTTAACAGAGCACTTACTATAAGTTCATGGATATGATTTAAAATTCATATTCATGAATTTAAGAAACCAGCACTTGTGGACTTTTGGTATAGTATCAAATAAATTCACAATTATCTAAAAACTTTAGAAATACCCGTTTTTTTGGCCATATAGCTCTATAAGGCTAAGTCTCCTTCACATTGTTTCCTCAATACAAATGATGGAAATAATTGCAAGTGATTGAAGACAAAGTATAGATGAGAATTAGCTCTCTTCAATAAAGAGTCTTGCAAAGATATAAATAAAGGACACACATTCCGCTCAGGTTTTTGCTGTAGAAAGTAATTATTTTTTATAAAAATTATGTTAATACTATGGTTCCCAATCAAAGGTGATCTTGTCACTCAGGGGACATTTGGCCATGGTTGGAAACATCTTTGGTTGTCACAGTGTATGGTGGAGAGACAGTCCTAGGGGAGCAATCTGCCACAACAAAAAATTATCTAGCTCAAAATTTCAGTAGTCCTACAAAAACAGCATTTTAACATACAAGAGACTTATTTATATTTAAGTTGTCAATTTTAATTTTCTAATATAGTAAATATCAATATAGCCCACATAAACTAATACACCTTTGGATCTGCAATAATTTAAGCATTAGGAGTCCTAAGACAAAAACAAACAATTCATTTTAATAATGTAATAAAAACACTCTACAGCTTACCCCCAAAATATCTATAGTTATTACCTAACACTAAACTAGATATCTTGCAAATTTATTAGTTAGAATAACGAGACAGGTTTTTAACACTCACCTGTTCTTTATGTGGTCATATATGGCCAAGGTCACACTACGGAGGGAAAAACAATGGCAACAATTGAATTTATTATGTTATCTCTGAAGACACTTTAAAAAGGCGTTTGGGTGTGGAAAACCTTCCGAAGTGCTCTGTGGTCTTGAAATCCTCATTCAGAACAGTATCATATGGGCATTTTCCCCCTTGTTTTAGTTTGGATTTTTGCAAAAATAGGGAAACCAAAATGCTAAGTATATGGTCTTAGAAGACATGTTCCATTAGATTGTTATAATATGTTATTATGTATTTTCTGTAATTTACCTTTCTATCCATAGAATCGTTTATCCTGTACATATTCTATCAATTTGTACACATGCTTAAATTTAAGCCACACAATAGTTTTTTTGCTTTTTTAAAAAGTTGTTAGGCCCAGCCTGTGTGGCTCTGTGGTTGAGCATCGACCTATGAACCAGGAGGTCACGGTTTGATTCCGGGTGAGGGCACATGCCTGGGTTGCAGGTTCGATCCCCGGGGGGTGGGGAGCGTGCAGGAGGCAGCTGATCAGTGACGACTCTCTCATCATTGATGTTTCTATCTCTCTCTCTCCCTCTCCCTTCTTCTGTCTGAGATCAATAAAAAACGAACAAACAAAAAATATTTAAAAGGTTGTTAGGCTCTGCATTGTAGTTGATTTAGTTCACTATCTAATAACCCATCCATTTTCCATCATGGTTCTAAAGGTAAATGAAGTGCTCTATGCAAACTTAAAATCATTTAAGATAACTTTTACATAATTATTAAAAAATTTAAGAGCAAATATAAGAGCCAGCAAAAGCAAAGGTCTAGCTAGCTACCCTGAAATAAACAGTGCTAGCAATGCAGCAAAATACAGCACAGTGTGATATTAATAACATTTATTCTGAAATTAATTTAAATGAAATTGTAATGAACAGATGTAAGTCCTCAGATACTGTGCAAGTTGCTGTATTCCTCAGTCATTCATAGATGTTGTGTAGTAGGCAACAAAGAGGTTCTCTTGGTTAAGTTACATGCTTCTTTTCTTTGCCCTCCATATCGAAAATGAGGCCCAAGGTAATTGTGGAAAGGCAAATAGGAATTTTATAACTAGGTATATAGAATAATAGCACTTGGAAAAAGGCCTACAATGTCTTTAGCAACAAGATGGATACTTCTATAGTGGTTAAACAGTTTCATCTTCAAACTGCTTTTAAAATCACAGAATTCAAAACATAAGCCGAAGATGACCACTGAACATTAGATGGTAGTCAATTCCCCAACCCATTTCACAGATGAGGGAACCAGGATTAAGCCTGACTTGCTCTAGGTCCCACCGACAGCGAGAAGTTCTTCCTCCTGCACTCTAACCAGGCTTTGGTTCCCAAGCCTGTCTGTGCATTAGGATCACCTGAGAAGCTGTAAAAATGGCCCTTTCCACCTCTAGGCATTCTGATTGAGCTGGCGCTAGCTATGACAGGATTGTCTTTAGAGCTCTCCAGGCGATGGCAACGTGCAGCAACATTAAGGTCAGAATCACCCTGAGCTTTGAGACAGCATAGTGGGACTTGGAGAGTATTTTGCTAAATGAAATAAGCCAATTAAAGAAAGACAAGTATCACATGATCTCACTCATATGTGGAATCTAATGAACAAAATAAACTGATGAACAAAATAGATCCAGAGATATAGAAGCATGGGACAGACTGAGGGGTCTCAGAGGGAAGGTGGGGGTGGGTGGGGAGAGACTGATCAAAGAACTTATATGCTTATATGCATAACCCATGGACACAGACAATAGTGTGGGGAAGGCCTGGGGGGGCTGAGGTGCAGGGTAGAAGGGGTCAATGGGCGAACAAGAGGACATCTGTAATACTTTCAACAATAAAGATAAATTTAAAAAAAAAAAGAAAAAGAACAGATCAGAATCACCCTGGATGCTTTGCTTCATATAATTATGCCTCACATCCTTCCTCAGCTGATCAGAAGGCTCGTAACACTGAGAGAGTATGTCAGGGAAGGAGGTGGATTGCATGTATTCAGAAACATATATGTTGAAAAAGTTGCATAAGCAATTCTAATAAGGCTCACCCGCCCCATTGAGAAAAATGCACCATGAGCCATATTTTTCAAAATCATTCCTAAAAGTCATTGTCTCTACTAATTTTCTCTGTAAACCTTTATTTCACCAACAGTGAATGAACTGAATGATTATTTTGAAAATTTAAGGAGAGCAAATTAAAAACTTACTGCGTTTCAAAAAATTAGACTAATTTTCAGAAAAAAAAGCATGAAACCTACTTGTCTGAGCAAAGTTAATCATTAAAACTACTTTTGAATTATACACTGTAACATTATTCTTTTTTTACAGAAAAATACTATTTATTACTTTTTTAAAAATGTATCTTTATTGTTGAAATTATTACAGATGTCCCCTTCCCCCTCATTGATCCCCTACTCCCCTTATCTACCCTCCCCCACAAGCCTTCCCCATAATATTGTCTGTGTCCATGAGTTATGCATATATGCATATAAGTTCTTTGATTCATCTCTCCCCACCCACTTCCCTATCCCCACCTTCCCTCTGAGATTCTTATCTGTTCCATACTTCTATGTCCCTGGATCTATTTTGTTTATCAGTTTATTTTGTTAATTAGATTTCACATATGAGTGAAATCATGTGATATGTGTCTTTCTCTAACTGGCTTATTTCTCTTAGCATAATACCCTCCAGGTCCATCCATACTGTCCCAAAGGGTAAGAGATCCTTCTTCTTTACAGCTGAGTAGTATTCCATGGTGTGAATGTCCCACAGCTGTTTTATACACTCATCTACTGATGGGCACTTGGGCTGTTTCTAGATCTTAGCTATTGTAAATTGCTTTGCTATGAACAAAGAGGTACATAAGTTCTTTCTGATTGGAATTTCAGGATTCTTAGGATATAATTCCAGAAGTGGGATCACTGGGTCAAATGGCAGCTGTATTTTTAATTTTTTGAGTACCCTCCATACTGTTTTCCATAGTGGCTGCCCCAGTCTGCATTCCCACCAGCAGTGCCCTAGGCTCCCCTTCTCCACACCCTCGCCAGCACTTGTCATTTGTTGATTTGTTGATGGAGCCATTCTGACAGGTGTGAGGTGATACCTCATTATGGTTTTAATTTTCATCTCTCTGATGATTAGCGACATTGAAGATTTTTTCATATGTCTCTTGGCCATCTGTATGTCCTCTTTGGAGAAATGTTTATTTAGGTCCTTTCCCCATTTTTTAATTAGGTTGTTTGTCTTCCTTTTGTTAAGTTGTGTGAGTTCTTTATATATTTTGGATATTAACCCTTTATCAGATGTGTCATTGGCAAATATGTTCTCCCATAGAGTGGGCTCCCTTTTTGTGTTGTTGATGGTTTCTTTAGCTGTGCAGAAGCTTTTTATTTTGATGTAGTCCCATTGAAAAGAAGCTACGAAATGCATCCAAAGTCCAGTGTTTTTTGTTTGTTTGTTTAAATCTTGGACTTAGTGTCTCGACTGAATAAAAACATCAGTGATTACTCAATAGGTCCCAAAGCTGAAGACTTTATATTATTATTATTGTTAATCTTCACCCAATGATATTTTTTCCATTGCTTTTCAGAGAGAGTGGAAAGGGGAGAGAGAGAAAGGGAGAGAGAAACACTGATGTGAGAGACACACATGGATTGGCTGCTTCCTGAACGTGCCATAACTAGGGCCAGGGGTTGAGCCTGCATCCAAGGTACCTGCCCTTGGACAGAATCAAACCTGAAACCTTTCAGTCCTGGGGTGAAGCTCTATCCACAGAGCCAAACTAGCTAGGGCAAAATTGAGGCCTTCAGAGAGAGGTGGGCCTTGGCTTTTGCTGAAACACAATTTATGTCAACAGTTGTGAGAGAACATAGTTACATTTTTATGAACGTGAATTAGCTGCTTTTAATTAGAATCTACCGATAATTTAATTAGCAAAAAAAGCTGGTATATTATGAACAAAATTAAGTTTATGAGCTAATTTTGTTTTAAATGCTGACATAAATTTAGGTGTGAGGATATTAATATTGTCAGGTAGCATTTCTCAAACTGTGTTCTGGAAAGTCAACACTCATATCCCAAAGAGACATTGATAATGTTCCTTGGACATTCCCAATGGGCTTCAAGAAGCCCTACATTATGTTTGGTTCTTTTTCTCTTTTAAATAAGCTTGGAAGTTTCATCTTAGGGTGTTTTTAAAGTGTATCTCCAATTGTGGACTATGGGGTGCTCCCAGAAATTAATGGTTTTCACCATCATGGCACTGTTCACCTTTGCCTAAGCATAAACTTGACTATAGCTATGTTTAAAATCTTCATCTCTTTTATTTTTTATGCTGTGATTTTTTTATATATGGGTTCATATAGTATCTTGGAGATATATTTTATCAATACATACACATATACAATTAAATTTAATATACCTATTATTAGGTATATTAAATATTTTAATTTCTTAAGCAATGAAAATTTAATATACCTATTGTTTCAATGGGGAAAATTTGACAATATTCAATTAAATTTAAATGCAGATACACTTTGGTGTCAGTAGGGAACAAGCTGTTAGTTCTAGCAAAAGTAACGTCCAAAGTAGTACGCATTGTTTTAGGACTATATTTTATAAAGAAATACTTTCTTATAGAAACATCTAAGAATAGCAACTCTCTTCATTATGTTCAACATGGTTTAACAACAGAAATTCAGCAAATAAAGATACTGGGATTTCTTATTTGCTAACTGGCTTTCTTTTCCTCCATCCACATGAAGATTAAAATGGAAATAAAAAAATTATATTTAGGTTCTTGAAATTAATATATAATTGACACCAGTTTCTTAACCAGATCACTGAAGAGGGCAATCAAGTGGCTGAAATTACGTATTGCTAGGATGCTTTTAGCACAGGGGCCTGTCACTCGGCCCTTGGCAACCTAGTTGTGCTCACCATTTGACTGTGGTTCCAAAATTAGGCTGGCTGACTGTGCTGTCATCTAGAAATATTGTTGAGCAGGAGCTGTACTTTTTAGTAAGGCACCCTGGAGCTTCCTGAAAGGAAAGGGAAATGCAAGAAAATGTCACAGTAAGTTAAACTATGAAAGTGTGGTTTTTTTTCTTAGTTAAAATGTCAAACAATTAAACATTTAGATTATTCTTATACTTTATGAGCTGCTTAAGTGTGGTGTCAGGTGCAGCTCTATGGTAAACCCATTAGATTCTCTACCTCTCACAGCAAGATCTGAGAAAGGGGTTATATAATGCTGCCTTTAATATAATTACCTTTAACGATAAGCCAACACCTATTATAAATTCCCTTTAAAGTGTAAAAAGTTTAGAGTAAGATTCTAGGGCTTTTTCTCAAGCAATGAAAAGCAGCTGAGATTTCCTATTTCTACTATTCATTTATATTAATGCCTTATATAACAATGAATCAAGATCATTTTATTGCAGTCAATGAAAATCCATAATAAATATTTGTTTAGGCAACAATGTGACATGACAAATGTATTTTGAGGTGTGTGTGTTTTGGGGCTGCCCATTCGCTCACAGAGACCAAAGTTCTCTCTAACCTCAGTGTGTCATCTTGAGTATAAAAGACTATTCTCTGAAGATTCTCTCCCATCCAGAACAGATGAAACACTGTTGAGAACTTAACTCTCACTTCATGTTTAAATAAGGCTATCATTACATTACTCAAGTGAGAACTTCAGAGAATACTTTCCATTCATTTCTAAATGTCATTAATTCTATTCTCTAAGTTATTTGATATTCCTTAATACCCTGCCTCACTCATGCTGCTCTGTTACAATGCCTTTTTCTTTCTTTTTTTAATATTTTTTTTATTGACTCTTTTTTTAGAGAGAAAGAAAGGGAGGGAGGGAGGGAGGGAAGGAGGGAGAGAGAGAGAGAGAGAGAGAAACATCAATCAGTGGTATTGAAGAGGTGACAATGAACTTTCTGAGACACTCCAGAGAATAAACTATCTTTAACACACTTTAGAAGTATCCACCTATTTTAGAAGTATTTATTGATTTATATAGAGCCCAACAATACAGCAATAATCAAATACTGAAGTAGCCTAAACCATGTTAGGAAAATTCTCTTCTTTAATGCAAGGCCAATAACTAATCCCAGTCACTCTATGTAGTTGAAAGTAACAGTAGTATTTTTGAATATCAAAGAATACCAATAGTTTTAATATGCTTGGCTTTGTTATATTTTTAAAACTAATTCAGATGAGATTTCCAACCTCACATTCATGTAAAACAGCTTTCATCATGCTGACATACTTTCCCATCAGAATCCCCCACAAATGCACAAAAGATGGGGCAGGAAGAAAATCTGCTTGATGTCTTTTAAAATATAGAGCATTCAAAAATTGCCAGGCCTGGCCAGGCGTGGCTCAGCGGTTGAGCATCGACCTAGGATCCAGGCGATCGGGGTTCAATTCCTGGTCAGGGCACATGCCTGGGTTGCGGGCTTGATCAATGACTCTCTCATCATTGATGTTTCTGTCTCTCCCTCTCCCTCTCCTTTCCTCTCTCTGAAATCAACAAAGATATATTAAAAAAAAAAAAATAGCCAATAATCAGAATATCCATATATTATAAAAAATACCATTTTGATTATTTCAGATGCTTTTCTGCAAGGCCACTTACACTTTATTAATCAAAAGCTCTAGATGGTACATTTTTAAAAGTGTCACTATAAGGAGTAATAAATTCTCCTTCAAGCTATAAATGTTTTTAAAAATAGCTAAAACTCTGATATAATTTTTAAGCTACATAGTTAACATGTACTTTTCTTTTGGGACCTTAAAAAAACACCACACAACATAAAAATAACAGTTTATTAAAATACTTTTATTCTAAATCAAAGGTTACCTTTTAAGATTACTACTATTAATGTGTAATATGGCTTATAATACACCATAATAAAGTCAGTTATGAACAAAAACCTATATACTGGGGGAGTAAAAAGAACAGGAAAATATGCACCAAAATATAGACGAAGTTGGTAAAGCTTTCGGTGATATCTGCTCCCATTTAAAATTTTTTCCATTATGCATGTATATTGGTTTATCTTTGAAAATATCATTGCTAAACATTTGAAATTTAATAGACATGGGTTTACAGCCCTATGGTAGCACATTTATTTGGTAATCAGTGACTTAATTAGAATCTACTGGCCAAAAATACGCTGAGCACTTTCCCATTGGTCCAGGCTTACTCTCAACTAGGCAGAATTTTCAAGATCCAGTGTCTACTATTCACTGGAGGGTGCAGAATTAAACCTCTGAGCAAAGCCTGGATATACTGACTGTCAGAAGGTTACTTTTCCCTTATCTTGCTTGAAAATGTAAGATATTTGTTCTTGATGGTTAAAGCCTTACTATTGGTTGGCTTACAACCTCAATAAACTACACTATGAAGTTATAAAATGCAAATACAAAAAAAAATCAAACAGCCAAAACATTATTGAAAGTCGAGTGTTCATAGGTATTACTTGAGTTGGTCACTGGAACACACAGGGACACAGAATCACACATTAGCTTCACTCAGTACTAATGACAGCATACATCCACTTTTACAATCTTTACAGGAAAGGGAAGGGATTACTAAGTAGACTTAAGGTTCAGTGGCATAGACTAGATAAATAATCATACCTAGAAATCCCATAAGTCACAGCCCAAGCTTTACTATCGAAGGTCGGGTACCTGCTGAAGCCCCGCTCCCACCCAGTGCGCCACTGCCTCATGTTGACCGATTAGAAGACAAAGCTGAAGTTTACATTTTGCTATCTACTCTTTCACAAAACAAGCTTCAGATATTAACAACAAACTCTTTCGATAATGAATGACTTTTACTTTACGCATTAGTAAAAACTGCTTCATCTATGTTGCCATGAATGGGATCGAATATAATTATTAAGGCTTTAGTAGAAACGTGTAGTATGCTAATAAGTATAACTGAAAATATTCTCTGAATTAATACTATTAATTATGTTGAATTAAAACTAAACTTTGATTTACACTTTAGTATAGGTTCTAAGTTTGAGTTAAACTTGGTGAACTTACCAGAAATGTATATTTCTCCCCTTTTCAGGGATATCACATTGAAATTAAAGGCCTAAAAATGGTTATACACAATATAGAATAAAGAACATTTTTGCCATCCCTTTCTGTCTAATTACTACACCGTTAGGTACACAAAAAGTTTTTTTTAGAAGCATAGAGACCAGCATACTTACTGCATTTGGCTCTAGGAGAGCATGTTGGCCGGCAGAGGGAGGAGGGAGGGGGCTGGATTACCCTGGAGAAGTGGGGGAGGGTTAGACCTCAGTAACACTTGAGAAGAAGAATGGGGGTACTCAAGAGGCACAGCCAAAGGACTATATGCTTAGCAGTAAAAAAACCTGCATAGTCATAATAATGTAAACGTTGATTCTGATTTAATAAAACCTTTGATCACGTTGAGGGAATAGGCGGAGAGAAAAAAGAACACAGTGGAATGAAAGAGCTAAGCTTTCACCCGGTGTGACAGGAAATCAGAATGTACGGCTAAAAGATATCTTAGCTATTGTACTTTTGTTAATTTTGTTAAAACATAAGATTGAATAATTAAGGCAAAGAAATTAAAGCAGAAATTTACACCACAATCATGTTATTGAAATTTAACTTGTTAGAAACCTTAAAAAATGGGCATTACTAAGCCACAGACTTTACTGAATATGTACATTTGACAATTAGGAAAACAATAGATTTAGAAAATCTACATAAAAAGGTCCATGCTAATGATATTGGGTCCATTATATACAGTATTTTAGAAATCATGGCAGACATATTTAATCTAGACTATTAATTACTCATCTTTTCAACAGTTTACTTACATGGATTAAGTAGTTGTTCCTCTTTTCTTGCACTAAGAATAAAAAAATTAACTGATCAATTCTGATACAAATGCTATAGAAAAATAAAAGTTGCTGATTGTCTGACAGATTACCAACGTACAAAATGAGACAAAATTCCTTTCCATATTTTATAATCTCCAACAAAAGTTATCATTGAAGTCACCTCACAAGTTCCATAAAGTTAAATCTAAAAACTTAGTTTTACTTTTTGACCTAAACCCTCCCTGTACAGAGGAAGCACATTAGAAGATGTGAGACACTTAGCAAATGAAAAGTTTACCTGTTGCTATCTGAACCTCTACCTCGTAGTAGTTTCTGTTCCTACTTTTACAGCCACGTTACTTGAATCACCAGGCTCTAACAGCTGAGGGCTGTACAAACCAGTTTCTGGCCAGGCACTTAACTAATTTCTAGATGCATTAGCATTCCCAGCAGCATCCTGAACCTCTTATTGGTAATTAACTAAAACACCTCACTAAAAAATAAGTGGGTCTTTACTCAACAGGAAAGTAACCTATTTAAATTTTAAAATGAATGTGCTGTTTCACCCAGTCCCCCATCAACACCCCAGTAAACTCAATAACAAAATTTTAAAAAGTGTGCTAGCCTAACTGATCATATCTTCAGCTCACAAAGTCATTGTGCTCAAATAAAGGCCAGGCGGAATGTAAAAGCTGCTGGAATGGTCTTGGGCCATGCCTTGCTCCTCGCACCCCCATTTCAGTGCGGCACAGGCGTCAGAGGCATATGTTCCTGTGACTGACGGGAGAGGGGCATGGGACAGCTTGTCCTCACTGTCTCCACTCTGGACAGGTGAGCAGCCCATGCTCTGGGAGAAACTGAGAAACGCAGCAATCCCAACCAAAAATGACTGGGTGAAGGCAGGCAAAACGCACACACACCAGGAAAATACGGGTAAGGTCCTCATTGCGCCGCATTACTTCAAACATAGTGAAACCTTCACTCTTGTACTTCTGCTGTCAAAATCACCTGGTGGTGTTTTTTTAAGCAAGTAAACTGGATTTAGCATAGCCTTAAAGAAAGTAAGCGGCAAGCAGGGGTGCTGAAGTTTTACACCCTTGATTCTTATCCTAAAACAAGCAGGACGCTGGAAATGGACAGTTTCACAAGCTGAGGGTCGCCTTCTGGGACACACTGCAGGGCGGTGTTTGCGCTCATGGCCCCCGCAAGGCATTAATTAGACTGAGAAAGGTTCGAAAAGCTTAAAAGTTCTGAGTAGCAGAGATCTGGATGTAAGATGGGACATTTGATTGAGCATTAACGTGAGATGGGACTGAAACCACAAACTCAATCCTCATATATAAACAACTGATGTTTTTGACCTTCAAATGAAAACCTAACTGTGACCTAAATCCTATTATTCATCTTTAAAATGTTTGCTTTTTGGAGCGAGGGGGAAGGGACGTAGCACTTGGAGAAAGGGACCACATCACAATCATGTGGTGAGTTGACCATGCTGATAAAGAGGCGGCAAGGTGCACAAACAGATATTCTGCTTGCTCTCCTCGCTGAAACCCTGGCAGCTAGGGGGAAGGCTACCACTGCATATTAAAGGAAGGCAAGAGGGCACGCGAAAGAGAAACATTTACGATGTCTTCTAAAAACTTTCTATAACACACAAAACAAAAGCAGTTTTCAAACTTTACATTACATTAGACACAAAAAATTGTCTTACCCTCTACTGCAGATTTGTTAAAAAAAATTGTGCTTGCCCTGGGGTGGTCAGAAAAGGTGTTTTCCAGAGGCAACTCTGTATAAGAAGAAGAGAAAAATTTGTGAAAATTTAGCTGAGTAGAAAAATACATGATCTTAAAAATAGTTACACATCAATTTTAATTACTTTTAAATGTCTTGGGAAGGGTTTTTAGTAACACACTTAGTAAAGGCAACGATATAAAAATTCTATTGAGAAAATGCAAAATTGTAGAACATGTGCCATAAAACCAACCTATGTCAGACATGAGCGTGCATCTAAGTGATCTATACAAATTTTCCACATCTTGGTTTCCTCATCAGCAATATAGGGAGAATGTAATTAAGAAGGCCAAATGAGATATACATGAAAGTTTGTCTTAAATCTTAAAAGCATTATATAAAGGTCCTATTTTGGTCTCTAATCTACATCAAGTAACACCACCCATCAACTAACCGGCTTGAAAAATCACCCAGAGGCTCTACTTTATAGCACCAAGCAGAGCAGAAGTTCTCACAAGTACTTCTTTCCTTTGTGTTTAAAGGTACAATTACTTAATTCAAATAATTGGTTCACATTTTTAATAGTATTTGAATGTTCTGAAAAAAGAGTACTTCCCAGTTACAAAGCCAGGTCCACCCTCTGGGTGCATCCACAGGCTTAATTATTCTAACCTTTAAATAAATTAAGAGCTCAACAAATGTGGCCTGAACAGAGTAAGAGCTTATAAGGCATTTCCTGTAAGAAATGATAAAATAATCTCTGGTATTTAAACAAAACAAATGGACCAGTGCAGCTTTAACATCTTTATAATTGAATGTTTACGTCAAAACACAGTCTTCACGTTAGCCACGCTGTTACCCAAAGTATTTTAAACCAAACATTCCCTCTCCCCTCTCCCCCTCCCTCATCTTTTCTCCTGCCCCTTGGCCATTAAGTCCTTAGAAGTTTTACCTCAACAGCCTTAAAACTGAACAGGCTTCTATGGGAAGGAGGGGAGGGAGGGGTAGGGAGGCACGGACACAAACATTCTTGTGCAGCATCTGGCATCTTAACTCCCAAAATATTATATTAAAAATTAAAGTCTAAATTGATGCGTTTTCCTCTTTTGAAATTTCGACTGAGTGTCCTGTGAGCCACGACCTCTCCTTCAGGACAGGAATGTGAAAGTGAAGTCTGTAAGCGACTGACATAATTCTGGAGACATTTGTGCTAAGTGGGGATATTAAAGCAATCAGAACACCATGGGGGTTCCTTTAGGTAAAACAAAACAAAACAAAGCAAAGACAAAAGCAGCACAAGCACAAAACTCTTCTCTGCAGGCTGGCCTCACAGTCCACTGTTCAGCTAGGCTGCCCACTTAAGAAAGCCGTGCACACTCCCCTATGCCACCCACTGTTTTGAATTTAAGTAACAAACCCTAAAATGTTTTTGTCTGTCCAGAGTACTAACACGCTTAACGGGTGGGAGCCAAGGTACCGCGGGGCCCAAACCTGNAACTCTTCTCTGCAGGCTGGCCTCACAGTCCACTGTTCAGCTAGGCTGCCTCCGGGCCATTTGTGTTCAAACCACAGCTGGAGGAACAGGCAGCTCTAACCCGGCAGCAGAAAACAGCCCACTTAAGAAAGCCCTGCACACTCCCCTATGCCACCCACTGTTTTGAATTTAAGTAACAAACCCTAAAATGTTTTTGTCTGTCCAGAGTACTAACACGCTTAACGGGTGGGAGCCAAGGTACCGCGGGGCCCAAACCTGGCTCCTTCACTCAGGAAGAATCTGGGCAGGTGAGGCCATCTGGGCAGGTAAGGCCATCTGAGCAGGTAAGGCCATCTGGGCAGGTGAGGCCATCTGGGCAGGTGAGGCCATCTGGGCAGGTGAGGCCATCTGGGCAGGTGAGGACATCTGGGCAGGTGAGGGCAGGGAGATGGGATGGATTGTCCGAAGTTGGGGTATTAAAGTTTTCATTGAGAAAGGAAGAAAATACACTCAGAAGTCTTCATAAAGTCCCAGCAGGTGTTAAATGGAGCCATGAAGAGGTAGCAGCGGACACTGAAGGTTCTCAGGCCAGTCTGGGAAGTGGGGGTGGGGAAGGACCTGCGCCCTGGGGTGCTGCAGAGGGAAGGAAACGG